CCAACAGCTCTGTTGGCTCCACTGCAAAGGCCCTTGTGTTGTTGTGTTCTTGACTTGGCAGAAAGTCCTCACTGAGAGACCACAACTCTTGTAATCGTTCCGTTGTGCTGAAGGCCATTCATGGAAATAAGAGGAGGAGGAGGAGGGAGCGGGGCTGGTGGTGGAAACAAAGTGCCCGCCATTTCTGAGTGAGTCTGTGGGTCCTGAACTGGAATAGGGCTCAAGGAACCAGAGTCACTCTGGATGGAGGCCAGGCTGCCTCCATCAAAAGTGGTCATTTTTTTCTTCATTAGTTTCCTTTCTTTGGCTCTGCGATTTTGGAACCAGATTTTCACCTGCAAGAGCAAAACAGAGAAGGGGGGGGGAAGAGTTTCCGTTACTTCACATTGGGAGCCTTAAAGACGGGGAAGGTCTTAAGCAATACTAGGCTGCATTAACAGAGAGAGAGAGAATCAAGATCAATGAAGTGTTAATACTGCTTTATAAAGCCTTGGTAAGACCCCACTTGGAATTCAGCATCCAGTTTCGGTCGCCACAATATAAACAAGATGCTGAGACTCTGGAAAGAGGGCAGAGAAGAGCAACAAAGTTGATCAGGGGGCTGGAGGTAAAGAGACTGGACAGCCATTTGTCTGAAATAGTATAGCGTTTCCTGCTTGAGCAGGGTTGGATTAGAAGACCTACAAGGTCCCTTCCAATTCTGTTATTCTATGATTTCTGAGATTTATTCTTGACCCAACACCCCTTAGTGAAACTAGCCCCTAGGAAGTAAGTCAAGGCCAATATTGTGTCCCTGCAGAGAAATACAGGTAGTCCTCAACTTAAGACCACAATTAAGCCCAAAATTTCTGTTGCTAAGTGAGACATTTGTCGAGTGAGTTTTGCCCCATTTTATGACCTTTCTTGCCACAGTTGTTAAGTGAATCATTGCAAGTATAAAGTTAGTGGCATGGTTGTTAAGTGAATCTGGCTGCCCCCTCGTTGGAAGGAGCTTTTCAAAATCTGAGTGACCAAAAACTTGATGAGCACGGGGGAATATGCTGCTCGTAGCCATTCTAATACAGTCAATAATTACATTTTCTATCAGGGCTGGATTAAGGCCAACCGATGCCTTAAGCACAGCCCAACAATGGTGCTTAAGGGGAGCAAAACTTCCAGGCAGGGCATGAGATGGGAAATAAATGTGACATCTGATGCCACCTGCAAGCTAAGCATTTAAACTTTATTTCAGCATTGAGCCAGTTATGCAGATTGAAGTCTAAGCAGTTAACAAAAAAATTAACAAAAGTTGAGTGTAGTAATGAAACAGTGATGGGCGTGATAGCTAGAGGAAATATCTCTGTGGGGCTACCTTCCCTTGGGGCACTAAGCATGGGCTTAATGGCTAATCCAGGGCTGCTTTTAATCATTTATCTATAAAAAGGACCACAGGAAAAGCACAGATTGCCTTGAATCTGCAAAGGCCCTAATACAGTGGTGGCGAACCTATGGCACGGGTGCCAGAGGTGGCACTCAGAGCCCTCTCTGTGGGCACGCGCATTGTAGCCCCAGTCCTAGGCCTTCAGCTGGGTTTTATAAAACCTTTTCGCTTCAACCTCTGCCACCATGTGCAAAAAAAAAAAAAAAAGGTTCAATCAGTCAATTTCAACTTCTCAGGGAAAAAAAAGTTCTTGCAAAGTTGGAATTGATTGATTGAACTTTTTAGTCCCACCCAGTCTGCCGTTACCACCGCAGCCACGCCCCACCCAATGGGCCACGCCCAGCCAATGGGCCCCACCCACCCGGCACTCGACAATGCATAAGTGGATTTTGGGTTGCAGTTTGAGCACTCAGTCTCTAAAAAGTTCGCCATCACTGCCCTAATATTTGTAGCTCAGGGCTAACCCTGGTAGTCTCTGAGCTTGTTGCTCTGTTGCTTTTCATAACCCAGCTAGGCGACATCGTTAGTGCTAGCAGACATGTCTGCAAGAAAATTGCCAAGCTCAGAGAGAGAGAGAGAGAGAGAGAGAGAGAGAGAGAGAGAGAGAGAGAGAGAGAGAGAGAGAGAGAACGAGCACCAAGGACCTCAGGGGACATTTGCTCCATGTTTTCCCCACCCACCCAAGTGGTCCTCTGCTCTGAATTGGACAGAAGCCCCGATACACGCAGGTCGTGGATGCTCTACCTGTCTCTCAGAAAGTCTTAGGTTTGCAGCGAGTTCAGACTTCCTTCGGATGGTGATATATCTGCTGTAGTGAAACTCCTTCTCTAGTTCTAACCTCTGATGATCTGTGTATACCACCCGGTATTTCTCTCTTGTTCTTGTTTTACCTGTTGAAAAGAGAAAGAAGGAAAAGTTTGCATTTGCTCCTGAAATCATGAACCTGTCTAATCCAGGCTTTGGCTAAACCAGATAATGAAGACACAAATATGCTGGAAAACACTAGCACACCTACTTCTGCTAAGCCTGTTTTCCAAGCAGAATTATAAATAATACCATGTATGAAAAATTACTATTCATTCTTTATATTGCTATGAAGAATAAATGTACTGTATGTGCACTGAGGGTTTATGCACTGGAGACAAATTCCTTGTGTGTTCAATCACACTTGGCCGATAAAGAATATTCCAATTCCAATATAAATAATACTATTGACAAAGCACCTCTGGTCTAATTCTTATGCTTCAAAAATGATTTGGAAGAAGTACTTTGTATGAACCCAGCATCTCACTGCTACTCATTAAAGCCACTCCTTTGTTTTATAGACTTCTGTGCAAGCTTACAAAAACATGCTGCTGTTTTAAAAGTGACATTCGTGGAATGAGTTGGTTTCTCAAAGCAGTGGTTGCTGATTTCCCACCTATGAAGAATTCTTGGCAAAAGTCAGATTGCCTTAAGAAGTGGCAGAGAGATGCCACAATTGCATGAGAATCAGAGTTTTTTTCAATCATTTTCAAAGTGTGCATATAACCATATCGGCTGGGTCAGGGATAAGAAAGCATATTCAAGCACATTTTGGTTTTGCTCTACAGGCATCCTTACCCATAACTTCCAAAACCATTAAAAGCTTGCAAAAACATTCGCTAGTTCATCTGCAAATACTGATTGTGGTAGGTTACTAGAGACGAGAAAGAAGTAGATTGTGGCCAACAGCAATTATTACAAGGCCATCAGAATTTAGATGGGCAGACATTTTGTGCTGGAAATATTAGCCATGCATGAATGTGTTCCTGGCCTGTAAACATGTCATTTTACACTAAACCTGAAGGGCAGCCCTGGCCCCTTGTCTTAATGGAAGTCTTTCTCAGGCTGATCTTCAGAAGTATTAGACCACATCTTCAACCCTTTTGGTTTACGGGAATAATAGAGATAGTCCAGAATATTGAAAGGTCCACACCAAAACAATGCAAAAAAATACAAAAGCCTAACTGGCCAGAACCTGTTGGGCACTCACTGAATTTGCCAACACACTGAATTTTTGTAGGACTGATGCTTATGTTCTCAGATTTCCCTTGGTTTGCTTAGGATTTCTTCTTTTTTTTTTATAAAAGTCCAAGTTGCTATCATGTTGAACTTGCTTCTGATGACTTGATGGAAATACAATGTATTTTTCTTGACAATAATAGGGAATAATAGGCAGCTGTACATTAGGAGAGTGATCTAGGCAACCAGAAACCCAAAGATAAATATAGGTAGAGGGGAGATAAGTCATGAGTTGGGATCTTTTGCTTAAAGGTCCTGCCTTTTGAAAGTAACAATAGATGCCAGCCTTACTATGAAAGATTGTATTTATAGGAATTCCATTTTGTTCATATGTCAGAATTACAGATACCTTTTAGAAAGAGAAATATGCTTTGACTGTTTACCTTTGGAGAAAATGACCGAACCGATAATATCTTAAGAACGTAATTTTGGTTTCAGTAATTTTCACAAAGCAGCACAAATGATCTGCCACTGAAATAGCCTTCTTCTGTTTGGTAGACATAGGCATCTGGTAGAGACCATGTATATCACAACATTACACAAATAACATGCCCATATGACATTTGTGTGATGATGTGACTTTCTTACCCTGAATCAGGAACTTTGTGGCAGAGAGAGTCAAGCTACTTTTCCAAAGCACCAGAAAGCAAAATAAATAAATAAAAATAAAAATAAACCTCTTAAAGTTCTTCCTTTTAAAAACAGAGGAACCAAACAGGCATTGAAACAGAGGCTGGGAAGTAGAATATGAGGATATACCAAGGCTAAAAAGAATAGTTTGTTTTTTTTTAGTGAGATGGGAGAAGTTAGGAAAGGAGAGGGGTGCGCCCTGGACTGGAATGTGTAATGGGAATTTGTTAAAGGAATGGTGGAAGACCCATTTAAAGGGATCTTTTGTAATCAGTGAGAATCAGGTTGTTGACTCTGAACAAAACAACTCGCCAGGTGTTTTAAAACCCAGACCTGTTTTAAGGATGCTCCAGTTATTCTAGCAGTCTGAGGCTCTGCCTTGCTCTTTGGGGTGGGGTGGGGGAGCAGATTTCCCCTTGGCCATAAAATTCACAGAGCATTTTTTAGGAACACAATAAAAGGGCCTCTTTATTTGCTGTGAAAACCATCAGTCTTTCCGGCAATATAACTGCTAAAGAAAAGGAACAGAAGCCAGGATGCATATCAAAGCCCCCCCTTCCCCCCCCAAAAAAAAATGTGTCAAAAGAAGGTCTGTTGCTTGATATGGCAGATCAGCCCCTGGTCTGAAGACAATGGAATCAAGGAACAAGGCAGAGCAAGATGAGGTTCCTGAACCTCACACCTAGTTTATAAAGAAAATAAATTAACATTCAAATTGCCCCTGGTTTCCCCTGTCTTCTCTGCTTGAGCCTAGCTCCTGTTTTACATCAGGGCCGGCATCTTCCTGGTCACAGGAATTTGTGAATTGGTCCACGTCTGTGAATTCAGCAGGACAACAAAGTCAGCTGAGCTTTGCCTCCCCGTTTGGAAATTCCATCCCTTTCCAGGCGAAGGAGCTTCAAAGGGTTGAGGAGAGGTCCACCAACAGCCTTTCGCCAGCCTGGCGTCTTCTAGGTGGGCTCCACTATGGTGAGGGAGAAGGTTTCTGTCTCTGGAGAAACCCGAGTGGAAAGAGGAAGCCAAATGGGACAAGGTCTTAAGAAGGCAACCGAGGATGAGGGATATTGTGGCTCTTTACACTGTAAAGGCATGTGGACTTCAACTCCCAGAATTCCACAGCCAGCAAACCCTGCTTGAGGGTGCTAGGCTGGGGAAGGCTAAGCTTCCCCAGACAAGATTTTGAAAGGAGCTGAGCATACTTTTTCTGAGGGGTCCTTGATTTCCTCTCAGCTTGGTTGTTTTCTCGCAGACGTTTCATTACCCAAACGAGGTAACATCACCTGTGCATTTTGTTTCATGACTAGACCTTCATAATCCTTCTCTCAGTTCACGATTCTCAACACTTTTGATGAGTCTCTACCCTGATAGGGCAACATTCTTTTATTTCTACCATTCCATACAAGTCTTGAAAACTTCCAGACTTCTAAGATTTTGAGCTGCTGGAGGAACAGCAGAGTAGAAATACAAGACATGAATAAAGAAATGGGTGAAGACTTGTAGGGAATGGTCTTCCAGGTCTCTCAAGAGTGGCCTATTTCTCCCTGTCTGAAACTGGACGTTTCTTCAAAGGGCCTTCCAAAGCAAGATACTGTAGGTAGAGACTGGACTAAGGGCCCTTTCAGTAGCAGCAACCTGAAGGCTCAAAAACGGTCAAGATGGTGACTGCAATTGCATGATCACAGCCCAAACTCCTCATTTATGAAGTAACCTAAACCTAAGCCAGGGGTCTTCAAACGTGGCAACTTTAAGACTTGTGGGCTTCAACTCCCAGAATTCCTTGATTTCACAAGTCTTAAAGTTGCCACGTTTGAAGACCCCTGGCCTAAGTCTAAACCTAAGCTTAGCCCTTCAGATATCCCCATTTTTCAGTTATGGCTTTTTTGCTCTGGAATTGGCTTAGCAGAGATATTTAACTGGTTGAATCGTATTTTGTAGTTATCAAAGGCTTTTTAGTGCAGCCTTTAATTGCTCCCATTTAGACTCCTTTTGATGTTTTTGAACAATTGACTGCAGATGAGGGTTCGTAGTTTGCTCTGATTTCCTCAGTAATTAGTTTGTAACAGTGATAACTTTTTTGCTGTGTATCTATGAATAGTATGATGCCTTGCAAATTTTCATTTAAACTGAAGAATATTTTAAAGGATTTAAAATAAGCCAAATCAAAATTAAATTAGTTGGGTATTTCCCTCCCATTCTAGTTTTTACTTTCAATCTTAAATGATTGGTAATATATTCATGGAATCCTAGTAGTCTGTAAAATTTTATCCATGAATTTTTTAAACTGGGTGTTGGCCAGGATTGCCTGGCAATCAAAAAGTGTCTGACATTTTTGTGTGTTCATGTTGTTTTAGAAAATTATCTCAAGATCTGACAATAACCCTATCAGGTAGGACACTACTGAATTTTAAACCTCATTTTGCATGGAATTTATCCATTTAGAGAGAATTCTAAAATCATTAGAATAAGATCATCTGAATGTGGATTTTCTTACAATGTATATGTACATTTTTCATTTGTAATTCCACCTTTTACCTACTAGATGTATAAGAGAACTAATGCAAAAATTAAAAAAAATATCACAAATGTTCAGATATAGAAGGACTGTAGAATAATATAGTGCAAAATATTGGCTAAGATTATGAGCTCCAAGGTACAAATAACCAATTTGGAATTTAGACTGATCATGGATTGCAATAAAGTTCTCTTTTCTCTTCTCTTCTCTCCTCTCTGTCCTACACTACTCTATATTCTCTCCTACTCTGCTCTTTCTTACTCTACTTTCTCATTTTAAATGACTGGGATTACACATCATGAATTTTGTCTGGCTTTGGCTTAGTGTGTTGTATGAATCCAGATTTGGTGGCTTGAAGGCTTTTAAACCAACAGCTAAGACAATGAAGAGACAAATCATGTCTGTCTAATCATGTTTATTCTATGAAACATATTAAATCTAGAAGCTCTTTTTAAAGGCTATAATTTAATCCGTGGGCAGAAAAAGGTTCCTGTTGAAGTAAAATCAGGCAGGTATCTGGCTTGTTCTTTTGTCTCATCCATGAGAAAAGATTCCTACTCAAAGGAATTACTGTTTGGTATTGTTCATCTGGCCAGTTTCAGAGATTTTGAATGAATTATGATGAACAGAAATCAAATCACCATCTGTGCTGGAGGACTGAAGATACGAGGCCAGAGAACATGGTTTTAAGTTGTGAAGATGCTT